CATTAAAAGAGTAGGAGGACATTTTTGATCTGGATTATGTGGAGGTGAGACTTGAGTAGGTGTCCTTGGGAAAGGTTGGTGGTTCTTATATACTCTGTTGCCACAAGTCTCAAAGAACATTGAAGAGAGAGGCAAGATAAATGATACCAGTTAAGTGTTTTCCCACTCTTACCCAGAGTTCTAAGGTGTTGGAGGGGATGCAGGTTGAGTTGGGAAAAGAAGAAATAAATCTTGGGCTGAGAGGGAATAAATTCTAGTTTTGAACTGCTGGCTGGAGGGCAAAAATAGGGGGCAGGGTGTTAAGTTCCTTGGGTTTCTATAAGAGTGGGACTGGTTATAAAGTTCCCTTTTCTGCCTCAGTATTGTTCTTTACAAGGTCAGATTTAATTTACCATTTTCTAGTTCTTGCATTTTAAGAGAAGCTTTCTGCAATATGTCCAGATAAGTTTCCAGATAGATTAATATTGTATGTCTAAAAATAATGGATCTAAGAAATTATGTAATCTGCCTTTCTGGATCTTGTGACCTCAGCATTCTGTTGCTGACAGCCAGATTTTGCATTGCTTCAATCCTTTGGGCTGTGGATCTGATCACAGTAGGGACCAGACTGTATTTTATGCATCCTCTCCGGAGGGTTTGTGGCATGATGCAACAGTAGAAAGACTGCTTTTCGGAGCAGGTTTCCTGTTTGAAAACAGTCATTGTAAGAGCAAAGTAGTTTGTCCAAGTAAATTGGTTTGAAAATGAGCAGTATGTCAGGCTTGGTGGCTTAGGAAAGAAAGTTATTCATGTATCGCAAGATCTGCCTGTTGTATACAGGGGATTTTCTTGGGTACCATCATAAGAGAAGTTGAAAGTATAATGAAAATTAGCCCTTTGAAATAAGGATTGAATAGAGGGGTGATTGTAAGGTGCAGACAGTTGCAATACCTGAATTGCATCTAATTAATCTTAATGTAAAAATAGTACAGTAACCAGTCTAATATAGCCTGTGTTATGAGAAAGCACATTCTTCACTGGTGAAGGTTGCCATTTTTGTCTGAATTTTATGAGTCCAAATTACTCTTAAGTTTCTGCCCCAGTAATTATGCCTCATAATGTTTGGATTGAGGATGGATTACAGGAAATTACTAAGCTTCTCTCTATTTTTTCATACAAAAATTTATGATGAATTTTGAAGTTGTGAATTCATTGTAGACCTTAGTTTTGATCTCCTTAATTGCAATAAGCATCATTCTGTAGAACTCAGATCTATTGTTTTCAGAGTTAGACAAGCAGAGGAGAGTCAGTCACTGTGTGTGCTTGTGGTGTGCATTTGGTGGTATTTATGTGCATTTACTGTTAATATTGAGCTGGAAGGTCTGTATAACATATAAACACCTATGCTGGTAATTAATAAAAACCAAGAAATTTCTTTATTGTATAAAAGCACAAAGGTGTGGAATAATTGTGAATTACCACAGTTTCAGTAGAAGGAAGGCTTGCAATATTTTCTTCCGTCTTTACTTATAATTTTCTTTTCTTTGTGGATTTTACCAGCATGCATTTTCCCAATGGTAAAAATTTAGCATGGATTAATTAGTATTTTTTGCCTATATCCAAATGAGTATTGAATAAAACATCAGGTAGTTCAATTTAAAGCAAAGTTTTGTGAAAAGATAAACTAGACTTTCCTCTGTTATCTTGGGAAGCACAGAAGTGATTCTGTTTTCTCAGTAGAATATAGTTTGCGTGGTATAGGAGGGCTGTAAAAATTGAAGAATGTCTGTAGGAAATACATCTGCCACTTTGAAATTAATTTTTGTTGATGACTTTGTGCAAATCATCTCTAGACAGTAGCCAACCACCCTCCTTGCCTTTTGTCCTACTTCTTATCTCATGGTGCTACTAGTATTATTTGTAAATGGATTGCTGTAGCTTTAAAATACATTAATATTCTCGCAGTTAAATATAGTTTGTCTGTGCCTACAAGGTACTAATCTGCTTTGAGTTCTGGTTCTCTGGCTGACACTTAGTAAGTAATGTGCCATAGGACAGCAGCTTCTCAATGTCAATCATGTGTAAATAAAAAACACTGCAAGGTCTATACCAGCTTGTTTAGTCTGACCTTGAGTTCTCACTTGAAAATACTTGAGAGTGACATGCTTTTATTTATTTTGTTTGTTTTTAATATCCATATCTGTTGGAGATATTTTTATTACTGAAATCAAGTCTAATTTTCTGTTCAACTACCTCTCATCATTCATAGCAACCTCAGTAGCACCAGCCAAAAACCTGGATTGTGCTGGGCCTGATTCTCATTTACAGTAGGATCCTTACATGCATTTCTGGCTAGATAAAGAACCTTCATGTTTTACATAGTATGTAAATGACATATAATGTTCATTTAAAACCTAGTATTAATAAATGTAGTGATTTGCACAAGCCCTAAGGATTTCATACAGTGCCAGAACTCAATGTAAATGAGTTCTTGATATAAGCAAAGATCAATTGCCTACTCTCCTCCTCCTAATATATCCGTTATGTTGGAGATATTTTGTGGTTTTGCTTGAAGAAATGCATACTTTTTTTCATTTCCCTCAAAATTGTTAAACTACAAAAGATGCTGTTGAGTATCTTTCCTTTTGTTTTCCATTTTCCTTATTCCATTGCACTTGAAGTATACAAATGATACTATGACATAAAACTGAATTGTGTGAGCAGAAAGAAAAGGATCTGAAAGCAAGCTTTACTTCTCTGTGAAGCAGTGAGAGACTGACCTCATGTGGTGTGAAACCAAAGTTGCCAGGGAAAGTACAAGGATAAAATTGAATAAAGCGAGCAGCTTTGAAAATTTAATTTTTCTCATGCATTTCTGTTTTTTTTTTTTTTATGTTGTGCTACTTAAAATATTTTAGTCTAGATAGTTTGTAGTCTGATTGCTAATAAGAAATTGACCAGTGTCCATATTTCCAAAGACATTTTTGTGTCCCAAAAGGGATGCTCTAACAAGCTGACCCCAAGACAGCAGTCCATGAGCTGTGGCCCAATTATCCTTACTGCTGCCTGTACATGATTTTAATTGAAATGAGTAGGAGTTTCATGTGAGCAAGTAACTGAATAATCAGTCTTGGTTTCCAAGCCCTTCCTGACATTTCCCCAGCAATGTGCTCATTGTGCTTTCAGAGCCCTGCTCTCTAAAATAAAGACAGTGGTTAGGAAAATTATAAAGTGGCACCATGCAAAATAGGCAGGGTGTTCCTAGTCTGTATGTGTTTCACATGCATGAATAATATTATTAGTGGAGACTTCTGAGTCAATTCTGTTGGCCTGATTTATCAGTATATGTGGACGGATCTAAGTATACAGATAAGAAAAGGAAGTTCTGTTATTTTGAAAAGTCTCTGTCTTAAACAGCACACGTTTAGTTTCAAAGGATTTAGAGGGTATTGTGACTTAGGGACTCTCACAGGAAAAAGAAAATAACTAAAATAAAGTTTAAAAATACTTTGGGAAATTCAGATGAACTTTAGAAAATCCATCCCTATTCTGTAAAAACTTCCTTATATGCTTTATTGTATTCTGTTCTTTATGTTGACTTAAATATTTGAAATAACAAAGGCCTTTAATATTTTCTACAAGTACTCTGAATGCATCGTCCAGATGACAAACTTTCCATTTTCTTCTTTACAGATCCTCTTGGAACCAGGGGTGATACAGGATGTCCTAGCAGCTGGGAGTCATTTACAGCTGCTGGAGCTTCTCAGTTTATGTTCTCACTATCTCATTGAGGTGAGGCTTTCTGGCCTGATAAGCTGTTTCTGTTTGGTACACTTTTGTTTCAAACCTAATTTCATTAGGAGACTATTAGTACAATACCTGGTGTAATCTAAATAGCAAAAACTGGATTTCAGGATAACTGAATTTTGGGTATAATTTGGGTATCAGTTTATGGTAGATGCTTTAGCCTTCCATACATTTTGTCCATTTCATTCCTGAAAACAAGAATGGTCCACTGATTAATATCTGCACATGGGAGGTTGATTCCCCCTTTTATCAAGGAATTTGCTTTCTTCTACTTCAGTGTACCAAACGTGAGGATATTTCCCTATTAGGATCATGAGTATTGTGACAAATTCAGATGTGTAATTCACAACAGAATATTGACATGTATTCCAGGGCACTACAATCTCTCACTGAAGGAACAGGGCTTATTTAAATGGTACCTTATTCTCAATAAGCCTTATGCCTGTAATGTCAATGCCTTTATCAAGCAAAAAAATTGAGTTGTGGTGAAGATTTTTTTTTGTACTCTGCTTTTATAGGAAATGGCTTATGATGGTAGCAAGAACACAGCTCTGATGGGTGTCTGTGAAAAACCTTCTAAAAATAAAATGGCAGTAGCAGTTCTGAAATGGGATGTGTTAACTGCACCTGGGCAACACTTAGGCATGGAGATGCACATCAGCACAGTGCTCTTGGTGTGCACTTGCCTTCCAACAGCGTAACTGCCTTTGAACAGTTGGAGTGTGCTTGGCAGCATGCTGAGCTACTGAGCAACAGGGACATGCAGAATCTCATGTTAAGAACTTCAGCATCTACTTGAAGGCTTTGTGTCTTACGGAGAAAGAATCTGCTCTTTGAGTGTTAACCTTAGGAAACCCTTCAAAATGTATATTCAGATAATAAGTTGGTATTAATTTGTGCATTATAAATTGTTTAGAAAGTTAAAGGAGCTGACAGAGGGCTGCAATTGGTACAATTTTTTTTAGAAATGCAGGAAGAGATTTAATTTTTCTGACAAAACAGACATGATTTATGATGGGAAAGATGGTTGGTTTGAGAAATAAACTGTGAGGTACCAAATAAGCCACAAAACCATTTGTCAGGCAGGCATGGGAAACGGTTACTGTAATGAGAAAGATGTAGATATAACACTGGTAGTCATGTACAATGTATTTAATGGTCCTCAAACAAACCAGCTGTTGTATGTCTTTGATTCTTATGTGGCTCTTTGTCAGAAATTGAACTAAAGAGACTATTACAGCAAAGAAGCTAATAGAAAATATTAAAGAGTAGGGAAAAGTTTGTTTGTTGTGCTCGTCAAGTAGGGATGTGAGAGGATGTAGGAAGAGGGCAGGTATATGCTCAACATAAATCCTTGTGCTAACTTTTTCTGTTACCTGTGTTGAGTAACCACTGGTATTTATAGCTCTTCTCTTAGCACCATCTTTGTCTTTCCCCTGTCATTGGAATTAAAAGTACTGACAACTACAGAGTTAGCAATGCTTTGAATCTTGTCCTTAATGTGCAAGCTATAGTAAATTATTTAGAAATAGATTTCTAATGAATTAAAAAAATAAATCGACCCCAAAATCACACTAGCCTCATAAAAAAACCCAATATTTTGGAGTTAGTAAGTATTTCTACCAAATTACTCTGTAATTAACACAGCAGTAAAAATTTTCTGGACATGACAGAGAAACCTTTAGGTTGGAAAAGCCCTTTAAGATTAAGTCCAACCACAAAATAATTTGCAAAAGAATCAGAGGCATTTTAATTCCTCTCCTGCTAGTGCTTTTCCTGTTGATCTCATGTCTTTTGATGCATTTTGTCTCATGCATATGTTTATTTGCATGTTTTTTCTATTTCTACAATTTACAAGATTGCTGTGTCTTTCATGAGTCATAGAAACCACAACTTTGTGGCCTGCAGTTGTTGTTGGATGTGTGAAAGATGTGAAAAAGCACTGTTGTGTCCTGAACAGTGTGCCAGGGTAGGACAACTGGAGTTACACTGTTGTAAAAATTAAGAGGATGTGGGACCCTTTGTCCAGATTTACAGTAGTGGAGGCAGGGAATAAGGTAGTTAAGTGGATGAAGGGGAAAAAAGAGGAGAATATGTGTTGGAAGACAGAGAGCAGTGCTAATTCTGTAAACTATTTCTGAATCAGGGTCTGATAAAAAGGTTTGGAATCTGCATGCACATCTGTGAGGCGGCTGTAGCTTATATCATGTTGGGATTTACTTTTTTTACGGTATTTTTTTTATCAAGTCCACCTCAGCAAAGCATACATGTAGACAGATCTGCAATCTGAATAGATAACAGTAAGAATTCACCTGTCTTGTTTGTTTTGTATCGTTGCAGTCCATACAAGTAATCAGCCTTGAGTGGTTGCTGTAAGTCTTATTAACAGGGGTCAACAAGATTCTGTGTGTTAAAACTGTGATATCTTTCAGGTCCAAACTAATTAAATCAAATATCTGTTTATGTTCTACATATTATTGTGTGACTTGAAAAAAATAGATCTTGCCTTATTTTAGTACTATCTGCAAATAAAATCCAAGTAGTTAAAAGAAGGCTTATCCTCTCTTAAAACCACTTGTCCTCTCTGCAGTTGGTAGCTGGGGTGTCTTGTCACCCCACATGCTGTGATACAGATGCTGGAAAGGGAATAGTGTTTGCCCTTTCTCTTCTCTCTGATGAATGAGTGTGCCAGAGTACTTCATTTAGAGTGCTACTGAATTACTTTGAGCTGTTCAGATATCATGCTTAGCTTACTTTAGCCTAAATTCAGGAAATACAGTGTGTGGGATCTAGCTGTCATTTATTGTTGTGTAATGATGACACAGTTTTAACTTGTTAGGATTGTCTTTAACTGTTTTGATTAGATCAAGCTTTTCCTAGAGTGCTGCTCTTATTGTTAGCAATAATTGCTAGTACTTGTTTCAGCTCTTCTCTAGATGTTCCAACCTGACAGTTCATTGGAACTGTCTTGAACACTTTCTTCTCTTTTTGATACTTTTATCTGGGACCTGTAATAAGGCCATGCGTTTCAATAAGGATGGGGTTGTTTGGCTACAAATGCAATTGGCATTGCCCACTCACGTATCTGTTTTGAGGCACATGGATAGTCTATGAGGTTCCAAAGAATACTGTAATGGTCTGATTAATCTAAGATGATTGTTGAAGTGTCTGATTGTCAAGAATTATTTCTAGTTCACTGGGGACAGAATAATTTCCAGCGAATGCTGACTTTTATATTGACTGATCTTTAAGGAATTTCCTCTTGATTGTCTCAGAATAAACAAAATGTTATTTTGACTATGACAGATCCTATTTTTTATAGACTAAACAGCTTAGAGGACTTTAATTTTTTTATGAATTAAAAAAAAATCTTTAGCAAATTGTTTAAATTGCATTTATGGCAATTTTTTAAAAGAGTTCTCAATCAAAGGAAAGACAGGAAAAAGGAGAGGAACATTTTCTCCCTACCCTCAATTAGGTAATGCAGTGGAGGTTTCTGACAACGCTGCTGGTTTATGAAATGCATTTTTTCTTCTATAAACTTCTCATTATCAAATGTTCTGTAGCGTCTAGTGTTGATTCAGTATTTTTGTTTGAAAACTCATGCTCATTTTAGATTGATAATTTACTAGTTTTTATTTTGAAACTGTGGTAAATAATATTTTCTTTATTTGCAAACAAGAGAAATGCCCAAGTATTCCTTACTTTTAGTCTTAATTCCAGCTTTGTGTAGTGCAGACTTCTCCCCCCATATCAGCACTGTCATACCTTGAATTATGATTATTCCACAACCTCTGCTGTCTGGGGGTTTTGTTTCTAGCTTCATTTGTAGAAGGGGACTCTTCTGAAGCATGCTGGTGTCTTTTATTTGAGATACATACATATTCATGAATCTCATGTCATCTGCATAATTCTCAGGTACATTAAACATTGAAACAAGGCTTGTAAGCGCACACATCTGTCTCAGGCTGAACAAACGGTAAGGCAATGCACTTTTCTTAACTGCTACAGAGGTGTGGGAGAGCTAAAGACTTGAACTTTGTGTACCTTCAGTGGCACTAAGGTCTGTGATCGCTCACACAGCATAGCATTTGCTTGCAGCCTGCACATCCAATTCTCTTAGGTTCTTGTTTCCCAACTTCCTCCTCCAGCTCAGGTTGATTGTCAGTTTTGGCTGAGGTTTTTCAAAGGAGGCTAACGCAGAGAGCTGCAGCCAATAGGCAAACTTTGAAATATAACAGGAATGGGTTACCTGAATATGTCCTTCGCCTTTTAAAAGTGGACCATATTTGTCATATCATATAGGACAAAGTAAGAGATAGCTAGTTAAAGGCATTAAATGTGATGGCCATCTCAAAATTGACTTTTTAAATGGTACTGTAGAGAACATGGTATTAGGTAGTGTGTTTGTGATGACCTGTTTTTGCACTTTACAGCTTGTGAATGTTTTTCTGAAGGAGACGTGATAACTTTATTCTTATGCAACAGAATAAATGCGTTAAAACATTTATTCAAAACATAAAAATGTTTGTTTCATGAGTATGTCTGAGTTACATAACTAGTTGTAGATCTAAGAAATTTTGTCTTTTTCCTCAACTGTTTGGTTATTCAGTACCAGAGAGCCACAAATGGAAATTATTTCAACAATCAAAGAGTTTTAATAAGGAGGGAATACTATTGAGAATATAAGTTTTTAATGGAATTTCATTCTACTGATCAACAACAGCTCAGTATTGTGTGGGTAGTAATTGGTTTTTAAAGCAGAAGTTGATTTCCACTGGTATTCAGGGATCTGGGATATTGGACTGCCCATAATTGAAATCTTAAAGCTAAGTGATTTTTCTGTATATTCTGAAGTACAATATTTTTGTTTTCTGTGGAATTCTAGATACATTCTGAGTTACAGTCAATGTATGATAGTTGTGACTTAGGAGTTTAGAAGTTGCAGAACAGTCCAAAGCAAAGCTTGGACTCATTTCTGAGAG